TTCTCCCACCCAAATCCATCACCCAAGACCTTCTCCCACCCAAATCCATCACCCAAGACCTTCTCCCACCCAAATCCATCACCCAAGACCTTCTCCCACCCATTCCCATCACCCAAGACCTTCTCTCATCCATCATCCAAGACCTTCTCCAACTCATTCCTGTCACTCAAGATCTTCTCCCATCCATCTCCATCATCCAAGACCTTCTCCCACCCATCTCCATTGACCAAGATCTTCTCCTACCCATCATCTCCATCTCCCATCCATCCCCATCATCACTCAAGACCTTCTCCCACCCATTCCCATCATCCAAGACCTTCTCCCACCCATTCCCATCACCCAAGATCGTCTCCCACCCATCTCCACTGACCAAGACCTTCTTCTACCCATCATCCCCACCACCCAAGACCTCCTCCCGCCCTCCCCACCGCCCCACCTGGTTGTAGAGGGTGTTCTGGCACTGCTGGACGTCCCTCAGGAAGAGGTGGAAGACGTGGGACTGCACCAGGAGCTCCCTCCTCATCTCCCAGCTCTGCAGGAGCTTCCCCCAGCCCGCGTCCAACTTCTGCAGCCACTGCTGGAGGGACAGGGAGGGCACCTCCATCTCCTCCAGCGCCAGCAGCTCGCTGGCCGCCTGGATCTTGGCGTAGTCCTCCTCGTAGCCGTTGATCTCCTCCTTGAGGGCCACGTGGACGTTGAGCAGCCTCTCGGCCTCGGCCAAGCTGTCGGGCACCTCCTCGGACCCCACGGCCGCCTGGGTCTTCACCAACCAGCCCAAGAAGTCGTCCAGGTCCTGGATGAACTGCTGGAGCCGCCCGGCCACGGTCAGGGTGTCCTCGCAGCCCTGCAGGGCCCTCTTGAGGTTCTCCCACTCGTCGCTGATCTCCTCGAAGGGCAGCAGGATCTCCAGGGCCCGGGCGGGGTGGGCGGCGGCCAAGGCCTCGCCCTCGCGCTGCAGCTCCAGCAGCCGCGGCTCCAGGACCACCAGGGCGGCCTCCATGGTGGAGAGGCGGCGCTGCAGGGCCAGGACCCCGCCCAGGTCGCCGCCGCCGCCCGACTGGGTGGCCTCGATGGCCTTCCTCTTCTCCCGCACCTGGGCCTTCATCTCGCCGCACTCCAGGAGGAAGTTCTGGATCTTCAGCGCCGAGCTCAGCTGGCCCTTCTTGGTCTCCACCAGCTCCACCACCCGGTTCCAGCTGGGCGGGGGGGATAAGGGAGGGATGGAGGCCACCAGGAGCCACCCGGAGGCCACTGGGCAGGGGGGGATAAGGGAGGGATGGAGGCCACCAGGAGCCACCCGGAGGCCACCGGGCAGGGGGGGATAAGGGAGGGATGGAGGCCACCAGGAGCCACCCGGAGGCCACCGGACAGGGGGGATAAGGGAGGGATGGAGGCCACCAGGAGCCACCCGGAGGCCACCGGGCAGGGGGGGATAAGGGAGGGG